GTGTTCAGTAAGTCAGGAAACGGGTTTCTATTGTTCTCATTGTTTGTAACAATGAGAACAATAGATACCCGTTTCCTGACTTACTGAACACCTTGTATATTAAATAATGCACCGAATATTATCGTCGTTTCTTGTTAACTAATATACAGGGTGTTCAGTAAGTCAGGAAACGGGTTTAAACGGGTTTCTATTGTTCTTATTGTTTGTAACAATGAGAACAATAGAAACCCGTTTCCTGACTTACTGAACACCCTGTATGTTAAAGGTTTTGGGTTTTCTGATTTATTATTTCTAACTTATATATAGACAATAGACATTGGTCGCGTTGACACAAATCGTTAGCATTTACTACCTGATTATAAATATAATTTTCGAATACTTTTAGATAAGGAATACTACAAATTTGTTTCTTACGAAAATTTAATAACGAGTTCTTATTTTGGAGGAACTAGATCTGGAACAAGTTCCTTCTTAATATAAAGAACTAGGATCTGGAACGAGTTCATATTTTAGAAAATGAACGGGGAACGGAACGAGTTCCATTTAAAAAGGAACTTTCCCAACACTGCTTATAAAACATTATTAAACATATATATTTATGCCTTTTGATTTAAATATGCCATATAATCTAATAACTCATAATAAAAACAATTTTTTAAATAACTTGGTTACATAAAAGGAACGAAGAGTGGAACGAGTTCTTATTTTGGAGGAACTGGATCTGGAACAAGTTCCTTCTTAATATAAAGAACTAGGATCTGGAACGAGTTCATATTTTAGAAAATGAACGGGGAACGGAATGAGTTCCATTTAAAAAGGAACTTTCCCAACACTGGCTATTTTTAAAAATACTGTTTTCAAACCGTATTTAAAAATGACTTCACATGGCACACTGGTTGCCTAAATTTTTTAATACCATTATGTTACTAATATGGTAGTTGTATAAATCTATTAATTTTTTGTATAAACCTTATACTTTTAAACAATTTTATGAATCTTGGTACCAACATTTTCATAATTTATTAATATATTAACTATTTATTATAAAAACTTAATACAAAAAAGGTTTAATCCTAATTAGCATGACACTAATTCATTTAACATTCGTTTAAAACGAACTTTGAATTTTTGAACTAATTCATTATAAGGTCTGATAATGAAATGTATTGAATCATACCAAAATGTCATGATTCATGAATTCTAATGTATGACCAACCCTTTAGCATTTAAAGTGCAAAATTAAAAATATATCACTTAATAATTAAAAAGAAATAATTATAAAAAAAATCAAGATATATATATATATTAAAAATTAAAACACATTAAATACATTTTCACTGATTATTGAAATAATGTATTAATATTTTATTAAAGTTTAGTTTATTTATTTAATAAAAATCATAAATTATTCAAATAATACATAAAGAAATTGCATATTAGCTTACAAACTTGACGTTTTTTTTTATATAATAATCTAAAGTTTATTAGTTAAGTTGAATCAAAATATTAAAAACTTTTAATATTACATTAAATGATGGAGATATAAAATAATCAGCAATACTTTCTTTTTATGATGAAAAATTTCAAGTGTTCACTAAAATAATTTGATTTTCCAATAATAATAATTAACTGTGAATTTAATAAAATTAAAAAAATCTATTAATAAGATAAATCACAATCCTAATCTTAAAAATTATAGCTTTTAATATTTTTAAATAATAGAAATCTTTATGTAAAATTTACAAAAAATATTTAGGACTAAGAATAAAATATTTATTTTCACTAAGCATATAATAATATATAACAGTATAAATATAAATTACAAATAATGATTTTAAAGTAATATTTACTAAATTACAGTCACAATTTTGGACGGACAATGTTTCAAGCATTTAAAAAATATTTTTGAGATTCACAAAACTTAATATTTATATTTAAGTTTAAATAATTTAACTTTTAACTAATTTACATAATTTAGGATTTTATAAAATAATACTGTAATACTATTTTTCTATACATCTTAAATCATTGTGCACTAACATTTGAAATAACTATCAATTTAACATATACATAAAGAAAAAAGAAACTTTTTTTTCTTCTAAAATAATTAGTGTCATATAAATGTTAGATTCAATATAAGTCATTGCAATTACAAATTATTGTTATAAATTATAAAATTATGTCTATAAGAGTTTGTACAATTAAACCAGGAAAATAATTTTTAATAATTTAAGTTAACATTATAGTTTATATAGCAGTGTGAGAGGATTGTTTATGTGGTTCTGTGTCATAATCATAATTTGCTCTTTGTATAGCAATCTTTTTACGCTTAATTTTATGAACACGTCCTTCAATAATATACAGTACTGCACTAACATAAAAAGCAATAGTTCCTGCAACTGCAACTCCATAACTCCAACCAATATCATTATGCTCCCAATGAGGCATCCAAACTCTACTATCTCCATGAATTCCAAACATAATCAAAGCAATAGTACTACACATTGCTAAATAAAATTTATATAAATATATACTATATATGTAAAATTAGAGTTAAGACCAAAATAACTAGTGATTTATAAAGCACTTTTATAATAAGGCTGTTACAAATTATGTACCAAATTTTTTTGAGTGTTAACTGATTTTTGCTTCAGTTATTACTAAATTTGACTTGCAAACAAATCTTAAAATTTTACATTACGCTTTCATAATATTAAGGAGCATAGTCACTAACTACCAGTTTATTTGGGTCTCATTCTAAATAATATAAATTATAATTAAGTAATTTACCAGCAGCTAAGTAAAGTCCTCCAGCAGTAAATAATATTTTAACATAGTGCTCTACTGCTCTATTCAAGTACATATAAAGTGATGTGTAAAATAATCCACAAATTGTTAGAAGAACACAAATAGAAAACCAAACTTGTACAGCAATATAAAAACCTACAATGAAAAATTATTAAAAAGTGTTTTTTAATAAAAAAAATATTTTTCATTTTAATTTAGTAAAAATAAATGACTAATGCAAATTACCATACCTTTAAATAGCACATCATATATGATGTAGTATTCTTCTTCAAATACCCACCAACAGTTGCCAAACTTAGTATCATACCAATGATGACTATCTTCAAAATCTTTAAAACAAACTACCCATAATCCTGTAAAAAGTTAAAAATTAAACAATAAATTAGTTTAGATAATCTTCAAAATTTATAAAACTTTTATTCATATAACTTGTAAATAATAGATAAAATTTTCTAAATTCTAATTTTTTATACAATAAATATAAACTACAATTTTAATTTTTAAATTAGTTCAATAACTTTATTTTATTCATATAGAAATTATATAGTCTTGTTTATTATGTCTTTATAATATTTTTCGTTAAATCCTTTTAATAGACTTAAATTTAATATTTATTTAACAAAATTCCTTTAAACATAATGTAAATAATACAAATTTATTAATTAACAGTTTGGGTGTGACCTACCAATTCTTTCAAATTTTGGGTGTTCTAACTTGCCATCTGTCACCAACCAACTTTTAGTACAAAAAGCTAATAAAACAAAAAGTGTTCCTAGAACGGATAATCCTACAGCAGTTAATCCATTTCGAGATTTAGCCATCTTATAAATAAATTGTTTATTTTAAGTAACCGCTAAACAGTTTACTGTTTTGTAGAAATTCTCAAATAATCAAAATAAGTTTTAATCATAACATGAATATTCCTTATCAATGTATGGACTGAACAAGCAACTAGTTGTTTCAGTGTAGACAACGAAAAAACATTTTTGCTTTTATATGATATAGTTGAATTTGATTAATATTATTTAGGTATTGAATGATAAAGGCGTGAAAGCGGCGGCAAACGGCTACCACTTTTAAACAAAAACCTAGATAGCGATTCTAAGGTTGTATTTCCAAAATACACCATGCTTTGAAGCACAGCCACTAGATATATTCCTAAGTATCTAGATAAAGCTAAAAGCTCCCCGGTCAGCTGATTTTTATATAACCTATACATTTTATTCCTATGATGATTAATGAGGTAGGGATTTGGCTTTTCGGATTAAAAGTTAAATTTAGAATAAATAGAATTTTATGATTTTATACTGATTGTCCGTCTCAATAGTGACTTAAATTTACATGGGTAATAATTGTAATATAAGTCAAATCCACGTAGATAAAATTTACTATCAATACTTTTTCAAAAGGTTTAAGAATAGTATAAGTTATTAAAATATTATTGAAGTCAGAACTATTCAGAAACAAAATAATTTTTGCATATATCTATTATGATAATATACATTTTTATGACCGATTTATAAATACTGATAACATTTACCCACTGTATTATGTTCATTTCAATTCTTTTTAAATAGTAATTATTACGGATACTTATTCAAACGTGGGAAATATTAAATTCTACAATTTCAAATTTTATTGCTTTAGACGATTTTAAAAGAAATATTTTTCCTATAACTGCATATTTCTAATATAAAAATAAAAATTCGAATTCAGTATGTCTTTTTTACCAGTAACACACGTTATTTTTGACATGGATGGCTTAATATTAGGCAAGTACTTTTATTTTGATTGTTGATTAAAAATTTATTTTAAAATAATTTATGAATTTTAGATTCAGAAAAAGTCTACTTAGAAAGTATTACTGAAGTACTAAATAGATATGGAAAAGTTTATACAAATGACTTGCGTTTAAAAGTAATGGGAACAATACCAATTAATACAGCCTCAATTATTATAAAAGAACTTGGTATGGAAGTAGCACCTAATGATTTGATGGCAGAATTTTATATTAATCAATTAGAAAAAATGACCAATGTGCCACTAATGCCAGGTTTTAAAATCTGTTATTGTTAATTATATTTTTAATTNGTTTTAAAATCTGTTATTGTTAATTACATTTTTAATTTAATCATATAATTGTTTTAGGCGCTGAAAAATTAATTACTCATTTACATAAAAGTAATGTGCCAATAGCTGTAGCTACAAGCAGTGGCAAAGAAACATTTAAAGTAAAAACGGCTATCCATCAGGAATTGTTTTCAAAATTTCATCATATTGTATTAGGAAGTGCTGATCCAGAAGTGAAAGAGGGTAAACCATCTCCTGATATATTTCTAGTTTGTGCTACTCGTTTTAAAGATAAACCTAACTCCGAAAATGTATGGTATTTAATATTTAGTGTTAAGTATTTAAATTCAATGAATTTTATTTGGTAAATCATAGTGTTTAGTATTCGAAGATGCTCCAAATGGAGTAACTGCTGGTATAAAGGCTGGAATGCAAGTTGTAATGGTACCAGATAAAATTATCCCAATCGAAAAAACAACTCATGCTACTCAAGTGATAACATCTCTTGAAGATTTCAAGCCAGAAGATTTTGGACTACCACCTTTTAATTAGTTTTTAACAATTTTGAAACTAATTAAGTTGTTATCTTATAGTTATAAGTAACTATATTAGCTTCATCAATGTAGGATCTTATATTAAATAGGTATTTATTAATTTTTTGCCATTGTTATTTATTAACATTTTTTATGTCAGCTGTTTTTTAACATTCTAGTCTCTTATCAATTTATATTAAAAAATAAATATAGTGTATTTGTCTTATAACTTGTAGAAGACTATTTATATTATTTGAAAATGAGTAAGTAGGTTTTTTTTATCATTTCTATAGAAAACTTAAAAAGTTCAATAACTTAGTGTATAATACTCCTTGGTCTTACCAAACCTCATAAATTAGGATTAAATTACACAAAATTGAATAGTTAAACATTTGTTTAATGTGTGTCTTTAACTAATATACCTTGAATTATGTGTCAAAAATATAAATTGATAATATTTTACTAATATTTAAGCAAACTGTATACTTGAAATCTTTATATTATTAAAATTGAACTCGTTTACTTATAAAATAGATGTATATTTGGTTCTTTATTGCTGTTTTATAACATAATGAAAATTAAATCATACATTTAAAAAATGAAGAAATGAAGATTATTTTTAAAGGAAGGAAATTTAAGGATAAATTTAATCATCTTAAAAGTATATATTTTAATGTTATGAATAGTTTAAACATTGAAAAGTCATAGTTTTATTATAATAACAGTAAGTTATAGTATAAAATATTTCAAAATTAATTATTTTAAGAATTTAATTGACTTCTTCCTTAATTTATATCGTGTTAAAACATATTAAATATTATAAAACTTGGGATACATTAATGGAAATATAATACATTCATTTGTTTTAGTCAACATCAGACTAAATCTATTTTTTTTATAAATTAATGTATCAATTGTTATTGATACATTACATTTAGTATAAATACTGCAGTAGAGCTTTTGTAAAAATTTTGTTAAGTTTTATCATAAACAAAAGATAGCAATTTGGTTTAAGGTATATTTTCCCACTTGAAACTTATATGGTCATTATGCATTAAATTACTTTTAACTTAAAATATATAGAAGAGATGTCATTAATTCATATCAGTTTACTTTTACTTTATAAAACTATTATTTTTTATAAAATCAATAAATCTAATTATAGGATATTCTTTGATTTTTAGGACTTATAACAGTTCAAAAGGTCAATATAGTTAAAAGTGTTTGTAGAACTTTTTCTTTGAGTTCTAGAAAGATACTATATCCAGTAACACATGTTATTTTTGATATGGATGGTGTACTTTTAGGTAAAAATAAATTTATAATACATATGTATTATCATTTATCTGTTATAGAATATTTATTATGTTTATCTATTATACCTTATAATTGTCAACTTCAATTTTTCAAAAATCTTAATCTATTATTATTTGTAAACCTTATTTATTAGATAGTAATTAATTTAAAAAAATTCTAAAATATAACAACTTTTGGACCAATATTTTAGAAATCATTAAAATTTTTATACTGAAAGTAGGAGTGAGGCCGAGAAATGTCTAGTGATAAAAATAGCAGCACCCATACTTTACAGTCAATACTTTAAATTGTTAATAACTTCTGAAATACTTATCCAAAAATTATTATTAATTAGATAATTATCTAATAAAGTTAATTGGGGTAGTTAGAAATGTATGTTTCGGCGCAAGCAGTCCCGGATTCTATCCCCAGTGTGCCAATGAGATTTTTCTTGTGATTTTCTTATAGGTGGTGTCTGGTCTCTAGTGCAAGCCGGCCATAATACTCGTCCCGTCCATCATTGGACAAGCCAAAAACCATCTTTGACTGCCGAACATGTGAAAGAGGACCACTGTCCTTTGTAGCGTGTTAAATTTAGGAAATAGAAGTAAAACTGTCATTCATCTAATAAAGTTAATTATACAGGTATTCAAAAAGTAAGGAAACATTTTTTTAAATAATGAGAACAATAGAAACCCCTTGCCTTATTACTGAACACTCTATATATGTTGTCATTTGAAAAATTAAATTTGACTCTTATATAGTATAAGAGATAAACTAAAAAAAGTACTTACTAACTGATAAATCAAGAAATATCTAAAACTAAAAAATATTAAAAGTAATCTTGTTAACATAATTATTAATTTAAGAGGAATACAGTATCTAATTTTAAAAGAATTATTCTGTATATGAATTATTCTTAATTTGTGAAATTTTTATTCATAGACACTGAAAATATTCACAAAAAAGCTGTATCTGATGTTGTAGCTAAATTTGGAAAAATCTATAACTTAGATTTACGTTATAGAGTCTTAGGTGCTCCAGAAATTGAAGGAGCTAAGATGGTTGTAAATGAACTTCAATTAGATATATCAGTTAATCATTTTATAGAAATGGTGCATAAAATTGAAGAAAATCTTTTACCTCATGTTAATATTTTACCAGGTAATCATTTATTTACTCAACGAATAAAGTCTCATGTATACAAATCTTAAACCCTTTAATATGCATATCAGGCACTGTTATGTTAGTAACTTAACTATACCATTACTTTAATTTTTCAATGTTTATAAAATAAATTATCCTTATTGGTCTGTGTTGCAGCTAATAAAATTTGTACAGAATCTTGTTTACTCACTTAGCACAGGTATTTTTAAATTGAAAATTTAAAAAACTATACTTTTATTATAGCAAACAATACTCATTATATAATACTTTTAAATTCCTCAAATGAATAGCAATCTTTTTTGTAAAAACTGAATTTTTTATTTTATTTGTTCTAAATTATATTAGTGCTACTAGAAATATTCAACTCTTTTAACATAAATATATATTACGTGATAACTTTTGCTAGTACATTCAGCAACAAAAATAACATTTCAATGATTATTTATGTTACAGATAATATGTGTGACTATTAAAATACCATTTAATTTGAAATATGAGGCATTACACTAAAAAATAGATCCTTATTTATAACAGAAATCACAAATTTTTAAAAATTATTAGAAAAAAAACTAATTTTAATATCTAGGTGTTGAAAGATTTTTGCAACATCTTCATGATCACAGTATACCATTTGCTATTGCAACAAGCAGCAGCAAAGAAAGCTATGAAATAAAAACCAGTAAACATAAAGATCTTTTTTCACTTTTTAATCATGTAGTAACTGGGGCTTCTGATGCAGAAGTAAAACTAGGAAAACCAGCTCCTGATATATTTTTAACTTGTGCTTCAAGATTCAACGATAAACCAAATCCAAGAAAGGTAATTATCTATTTACAATAGAATAATTGTTATTATACTTTTCGAAGTAATACAAATGAACCATCAATTCTTTTTGAAGTGCATTGTGTTTGAAGATTCACCTAATGGTGTACGAGGTGCAATTGCAGCTGGCATGCAAGTTGTTATGTTACCAGATCCACTGCTGCCAAAAGAATTATGTACTGAAGCTACCATTATAATAAATAGTATGAATGATTTTTGTCCAGAAATATTTGGTTTACCAAATATTGAATTTTAAGAGTTATGAATTAAATATTTTTTGGATTAAATCCATTTATACATAAACAAATGTTTTACACATTTTTTTTTTTGTTAATCGAGTTAGATAATTGAATATAATATAATAATCAGAGAGTAATAATGAATAAGAATGAATAGAATAAGATTAAGAATAAATAGTTTGAGAATGTCAATTAATTTCATTTTATTAATAAAATTAACATTTTTTTTTTATTTCATAATTTAAAATGGAAATTATAAAAAATAATGTTAATTAAACACAATTATGTATTAATCATTTCGTTTCGTACTTCACTTTCATCTACCTTATTATATATTTTTTATTTTTTAAATATTTAATTTTTTTTTTTATTGATGAACAAACATTTTTTTTCAGTTTTAATATTAAATTTCTGAATTTCTAGATTTTAATTTCTATGTCAAAAATTAATTACAATGTAATTATGTTTACCAAATAAAACATTAATTATGAAAAATATTACACTTTTTAAAATGTGAAATTTAAGCTTGTAAAAATATAATATTTTTAAGATTTATTTATACAGTACTTCTAAAATTTTAATGTTTGAAAATATCTGGATAATTTAAATGTTGGAAAATTAATTTATTTTATTGAAAGGTATTTTAATGAAATTATTAATAACTATTATACAAGGCTAATTGTACAAATTTGAATAGAATTAAAAACAAAACACTCAGATTCATTCACTGAATTTCAGTTATGTACATTTTTAAAATAGTTTATATTATGAATTATGTAAATTATTTTTTTAGAAATTATGTTTTCTTTTTTAATGTATACTCTACGAATGTACACATATTACCTTTGAACTTTTTCAAGCTATTTTGTACAAATTAAGTTATAGTTATAAGTTAAAGCATAGAATTTATTATTGTTAATGGAGTATTTATGAAAGTCTTTTGTTTGTAAATTAATAAAAGGCTTCAATTTAATGTCAATAATTTTTAAATAAAAAACTTAAAAACTAAATTGGTCCAAATAACAAAATTGTTTTTATGTTCTTGTTGGAATTGGACAACCAAATGACTGTTAAATTTACCACTGATCTTTGTTAATTGTTTTTATTGTTGTTGGATATTATTTATTTCCTATTATGAATAATTCTATTAAACTATTATAATTTTCCTAGTATACGTTGTTTTATAACCATAATATCTTTGACAATCATTAATTTAGTGTATATATTGTGTACACACTATTTTATACACTCAGTATAATGTGATTTTTTTTTTTAAATCTTGTAATTTACTCATCAATTTTTAATTTTATGAAATTATGAACAAAAAAAATAATTAATTTAAATATAACTCTTTCTGAAAAATAATCTGGTTATAACCAACCCGAAAGGTTATAAAACGATATGATGGTAAGGGTATACAGGGTGTTCAGTAAGTCAGGAAACGGGTATCTATTGTTCTCATTGTAACAAACAATGAGAACAATAGAAACCCGTTTCCTGACTTACTGAACACTCTGTATATTCTCTAACATGCAATATATTAAATTTTTCAACCAATACAGACTGGGTTTTCCAGATATTTTTGTAAAATTAATTATTTGTATATTTTTGAATACCCTAATAAAATATTGATTTTGTAGTTTTATTATTTTTTATCTCTAGTTTTTAAGATAATTACTAACTAAAACAAGTCTTCTTCTTCCTCGCCTTAATCCTAACTACTTGGGGTCGGCCACCCTTATCCCAAACATCCACTTGACACAATCTCCTACATCATCTACGCTCACATCAGCTATCCTCATTTCGCATTCAATAGCATCCCTCCATCCCTTTTTTGGTCTTCCTCTATCTCTTCTTCCTTCAACATTCATTTCTATAACTGTTCTTACAGCTTCCGATTATTCTCTTCTCATAAGATGACCAAACCATCTAAGTCTATTTTCTCTCATCTTATCTACGATTGACGTTACACCTATACTTCCTCTTATATGATCGTTCCTTATCTTATCTTCTATAGTCACTCCACTCGTCCATCTAAGCATTCTACCTCCTAACACTATCAACCATACATCATAGCTGATCTCACTACAGTCTTATAAAACTTACCTTTCAGCCTTATTGAAATTTTTTTATCGCATAACACACCAGACGCTTTTTTCCCCTTCATATCTTAATCCTGTATCTAACATCCTCGTCAATACCACTTGTATATCTCCTCTTACATAATAATAAAAGATTCATTCAATAACAAGTAATTATACAAATTAATTGCGAAATTTTGTTTCAAAATATAATATTTATTCTATTTTTTGGTCCTGTAAAGTTGATTTTTTACGAAAGTTTCAACAAAAATAATTTAACTTTTTACGATAACTATATTGTGGCTCAACTTACAAGTTTAAAATTGATATCATTAATTAGGACATTTTATGGGGGATTAAAAAATAGTATTGTTTAAATTGATATTTGGTTAGAAACTTATGCAATTACTAGTAAAAGTAAATTTAAAAAAAAAGCTCCAAACGTCACTATTTTTTTTTTTTTTATTAAATATTTGTAATCAATTATTTCAATAGAAATCATAGTAATCTTTTTCTATGTGACTCTTGGTGTTCAAAAATATGTTGAAATTAATCAAATTGGTATACCGTACATAATAATATTATAATTATTATTAAGAATAATTTTTTTAATTAAAATATATTTATTAACTAATCATTTATAACCTAATAACCAAGTATAATTATGATTAAATTTAAATAAATATAAGAATTAAATGAGAATAAATATAATTTAATTCATTGAGATGAATGCTATTGTATTAAATAATGTCCATAAAACATTATAAAAAAAAAGTGTGCTACGTTCTAATAATTTTAGTTAATCATTTGTAATAAATTAATTTTATATTATTATTAAATTACTTAAAAATTAAGTAAAAACAACATTTATTTTATTTTGAAGGAAGGAAAGTCTTATTATGATGCATCTACTCCTAAACATAATTCTAGTTAAGCCACTGAAAAATAGAATAAATATTGTTTAAAATCTATGATTGATAAAATATATCGTATGCTATTAATTATTCTTAGATGTAATGATCATGATAGAGATGAATAATTATATTTTATAATAATATTGAATAAATTGTAATCAGTTATATTGGAAACTTAAGTATATTTTCTTATAAAAGTTATTTAAATAAACATTAACAATAAATAACACTCTATTTTGACAATAATACATTTTTTCATGTTCATCACTATGATGAACATAGAACAGAAAGATCACTTATATAATTATTATTTAATAAAAATCTTAACTTATAAACAAAAATATAAAATCCAATTCTTCAAAAAAAAACGTTAAAAGTAGTATTAATGATGATTTTGAGAGACTGAATTACTTGCGACTTGGAGGGAACAGTTGGTCGTATGGTATTTCCAGGAACACTTGGTTAAGAACTGGCTTGGTAATTTTTTCAAAAGCTTCTTCAGCAAATGGCATCATTACTTGGAATATAACACGCCAAAATTGATTTACGAATGATAAAGCCATTTGACCTATATACAGATAACGGGTTATGATATTTTGATACTCCCGATTACTTAAAATACTTAAGGAAGAATTCTAATTAAACCTATAAGTTTCATAACGTATAATTTTTTTTATTATTATTTACTTAGTTCGGGGCTTCCGTTAATTAAGTTAGTGGCGTATATTTTCATGTCACCAATGTCCAATTTCATACCAACATCTTTGATACGCATGTGACGTTGACCATCTAATTTAATTGTGTCACCTTTTAGTGCCCAAGTGCCAGTAACATCGTCTAGTGATTATATACGTTATTTTAAAATAAATACTTTATTTCACATAGAATTGTATGTGTTACTAGATTTAATAATTTACTTACAAGACGATACATTGAAGAAACCTTTTCCCATTATTGGAATTTCTCCGATTTTACCCTCGGCTTTAAAGTTTCCTGTCGATATTACTTTTGGCATATAAAAATCCACTTCTAATTCCATACGTTTGGGATCTTCAACTAAAGCTCTAAAATTATAAACAAATAATGATGAGATTTATAAATTTATAAATTTAACGCTTTATTTATAGAACAACTTTCCCTTGAAATATTTAGGATCATGAAATCAGTAGTGATTCATAATTTTGATTTATCATTCACACAATGCTTTCCCAAGGGAATAATAAAATGTAATAACTTATTTATATTATAAATATGTATATATTTTATGAAGGTAACAAACCTCACGTCGACTATTCTTATTGTTGACAAACCATAGTCGTTAACATTTTTAAAAAGACATTTTCCATCGATTTGTGCCGAGTCAAAATGCATAAGGTATTCATCCAAATGATAAGGATCTAAAGTCGTGATATTTAATTGTGGTATACCCTCTAAAAGCATATAAAAATAAATTTTATTATTATCACTTTATATTATAAAATAGTAAAAACTAAAGTTGTTTATCATACTATATTTCTAATAAAAGGTAAAATATTTTTCATATTTTACATTACTTAACGTAGATTTATTAGGCTTAATAAGTTTTCTCATATATACATAGACTAGTTAAGTTATTGGTTTTTCTATTTATTTTAGTACAATTCCAAAAACTAAAACTAAAATCATCTTTTATGCGAACAATATTCAAAATCACTCTTACCTTTGCTGAATTTAGGAATCAAGTATTGCAAAGTTTTTTTTAGACAACCACTAAAATCCTTGTCATTTCTTTTACAGGGATCAGTATACGTTGCTAAAACAAAAAAAAATATGACCATAAAGTTATTTTACTTCACTTAAAAATCTCATTTACGAGGCAAAATATAGTTATCATATTTATTACCAGTGTAATTTACCGTTACTTATTTAATAAAATGAAATTAAATCCATCAACAATGGAAATTAAAAGTTTGCTTTATCCTTTATACATGTACAAAAGAAAAAAAAATTTTTTATTAATTAAATAATACCTTGTCTTATATAATATTTATTCACATCGTAAATATTAATTATCCATGAAATAAGATAATTTATTATATACATCCAGAAGTCTTCAATAGTTGACGACCTTAACAGCATTACAAACGAAAACTCTAACTATTAAATCAAAGAACTCCCTAGTTGAAATGCGATGAGAATACAGGTATATTCATGGTCATTATTATTTTGTTTATTGTACGTTATATTGTCATTACTTTTGATATTTACACGCTTTAAATTTACTTCTAATATTATATGTATGTTAATCTATGAATAATTTATTAATCTGATTAATATAAATAACTTAATTTTTAAAGTCACGTATGTAAAAAATAGAAAAATTGACTTGCTGTTTTTTTTTAAACAATAGCCTAAGAAATAATTAAGTCTTTGTCATAGGCACTTCTAGAGAATTTTATAGGGACGTAAGCCCTTCCGAAAATTGTAAAATATAATGTTAGAATTGATAGTTCAAAAATGAAAATAAATCTTATTGTGTATTGATATTAAAGTTAAAATCTAATACGTTATTTTTGATTCATTGACCAAGTCTTAAATACTATTTTAAATAAAATACTATTTAATAATTTTAATATAAAATGTAAAAAGATTATTTTTTATAAGTTTACTACCAAAAAATTTTATATTAACTATACAATATTAATATTATCTATGTTTAATACAGAGAAGTGTGGTAGTTCCCACGCATCTGAATATTTTGGTCTACATGCTCCAACGATCTTTGGTTAGTAATAATAGATAACCTATACATAAATTTCATTAGCTGGTGACAGTACGCAGTTTTAATAATGAGAATTAATGTAGAAGCCTACAAAGAAATATTTTAAAAATTGTTGACCTTATGTTTTTTTAATGAGGTAAAAACAAAAAAATTGTGCATTTGAAATTATAATCTTGTTATTAGTAATTGGCAATATATTTCTTTTTTTGTTTTCCGTGCAGTATAGGTTCTTGATATAATTTTTATCGTAAAGTAATAATAAAATGTCGATTAATGTAAACCCTAAAATAGTACAACGTTAATTTTATAAAATGGCATACTATATTCGAATTCACTCTCTGTAGGTTACACCTCTGTATGAGAAAAAATTAGTAATGAAAAATTATATTCCAAATTAGTTAACAAAATTGCCTTAATGAAAAAAGATAAAAATAATTAGGCTCTAGGTTTTAAATATTGTAATGACAATTAAGTTTTAATTTTATAGCCGTAGGAAGGACAAAATTTTTAGAGACCTAATTTTAATTCCCCCTTCAATAAATTATTTTTCTGATGGGACTAAGCTCATTCACTCTGAGTATAATTGTTAAGTAACTTGAATAATAAAAAGTTAATAATTTTGTTTAATAAAATTAGTAACGTATTATTACTACGATTGAATATGTTGTGCATTTACACAATATGTATGTATATCCTATTAAGACAAAATGAAAACTAAAACTTTTACTCGCTTTCGATTTTCAAACATTATTAATATGATCTACGCATAGCAATCATAATTGTTGACAACCGAGTACACGGTTTATGTTAATACTTAAATTTTACTTCTATTCTCTATAAATCACGACCAAAACCACAGGTCGTTGATCCGGTCTCAGAGGATGAAAGTGTAACAACGACTGCGATGCAGCGAAATCACTTTTTTCTTTGTATTATCAATGAATATTCTCTGTATTCATATAATTGTCCCATGACAAAAAATTGTAACAATATTTTTTGATTTGCATGCATTTAACAATTTTTTTTTTTTAATAACTGATTTTTCTTTTCCTTAGAAAAATCGATGAACTTTCTCTTAAATAATATTGTGTATAAAAAATTAAAATACCTTACCTTACTATCATTATTATAATAATTTATTGTTAAATTCAGCGACGCGCATTGTCAAATGATGGAAGATAGATAATACTTTTTTTATTACATTAACAAATAATATTAGACCAAACTTCATTGTTTTTACATCACTGTGGTTTCATGCTCACGCCTTATTCTTTAACCTTTTTACTTACACAATCCGTTAATCAATTTTAATCATAAAGAATTGTTAAGATATATTATAATCTAGTAGAAACCCGTTGATTATATATAATTACCATAATACTAGTGTATTATAATACATCATAATCAAACGAAGACTAAATTACTAATTTTAGAAAATTGATAATACAAATTAAGATTGAACCAAAAATATTAATAGATTTAACAGAAGCGTATTTTCAAATAAGTTTCAGAGAGGTTTTGGTCGGGATTAAAGCAAGGAAAAAGAAGAAGATAGAGTACTAAAAAAATTGTTTGTCGTTTAAAAATTTTACCCCTCCTCTTATAATAAATAGTGATTTTTCAAATTTTATAAAAATAAAAAGGTTATCAAAATGATTTGAAATCATATTACTCGTAAAAAAATGCATCTAGTTGTGTAACTGGTAGGTTAATCGGTAAATTTTTTTTAATATAAATATTAGTTTTGAAGGGGCTTGTCCCAGATCAACCCCCCAAATACGCCACTAGAATATTGTGTGTTATTATATCTACAGAATAGATATGCAAAATATATTACAACTGGCAAGTATTCCGGGTTATGCCAATTTCATGATATTGATTTTGCAACTTAAAATATTACATAACTTTGAATTAAATAAAATACTTATTTACTGGAAACCCAACTGTTTGATGAGTATAATTTTTTCTATTTTAAATAAAGTATTAAAAACTTAATAATGTAAATTGAATTACCATAGGGTCACTGGCGTAAGTATAAGGAAGGATATGACACTCAAATCACCCTACAGTAAAAAAATTATATGGTGAAGATACAATTTTTAGGCATTTTATTACGGGATATATTTAAGTAATATATATTTATATTATATTTTTATGGAGCATAAAGTACTACAATATATTTTAAATATTTCAATTTTATTTATATAAAAAAAGCATCATATTGAATAATGGCTCTACTGATAAAACGTACGGAGTCCCAAAATTTTTATCATTTCGACATTACCACAAGATTTTTGTGGGAGAAGCTAAAAATATAATCAATTGGGATTTTTGTCATTCTCATTTTCAAACAGTAGTGCAACTAGAAAATATTTCAGGAATATTTTAGCAAAACAAAAAGGTTATTTAACAGTTATTTTTATCTGTATCACTAAAAGTATACATATTAAATTATTTTTTTATAGAATTTCCTAGTATCTAGGCATTTTTTAAAGAAAAATAATCAATATGAGACGAGATAATAAAATCTTTTACAAATATGTTGATTACTTACGTAATTCAATACCACTGGTCCTAATGAACGCAGTCTTGGCTGGTATGGCAAAGACAGTTGCGAATAAAAGCACCGCAATAGGTTGGTGCATGGTGTTGAATGTTTGAAGAGGATAAAAAGTATTGAGCTATGTGTTGTGTTAATTTGAGAATTGATTATGTCGTTAGAAATAAGTTATTTAACAGGCACAGGTTTCTTTTATAGACTTCGTGCAAATCTACCAAACTTCTTAACTCTGAGTGGTGGTAGTACAAGACTGTTATTAAGGCAATCGCACGGCCTTGTCGTGTTTGAAAGTGGGAAATGAAGTGTTCAATGTATATTTGTTCAATCTGTATATATTTGACCAGTATAATGGGTTATTAATACGTATGTAATACAATTATATAGATAATCGCATAATTTTCCTTCTAGCATAACTGTGGGCGCTTTTTGAGATTTAATTATTAACTAGGAAGTTACCAAATTAAACATTTTGAAAGACGATAAAAAAATTAATCAATCTTTTTCATTTAGTTTGAGTTTAGAAAATTCATTATAGAAATCCAAATAAGAGCATCCACCATTTAACATAAAATCTATTGATAAAAAAATATTTCCAAGTTGATTAATTTAAATCCCTTGATCAGTGTTATCGCGCGAACCTTACAATTTGGATGTTATTATGCGTATAACTTGTGATGAGTATAAATAAAACAAAAAATGTTAGAAACATTATTTTTTAATAATAAACTACTTTTATTTTTCAGAGTATTAGAAATTATAGTGATAATATTGCCATATATGATCTCCCTAAGTAATCGTTTTAATTTGTTTTACAGTAATTATTGCTAAAATTTGAATAAGTCTCAAGTTTTAAACAGTTTTTTAGCGGTTTCCCTTGACATAACATCGACAAGATGTTGTTTTAATAAAAAGGACATCTAACAAAGTAACTAAGTAATATCTAATTATTAAATAACTTTATATTATTATTATAATTAAATGAAAATAAAACAAATAAAATAGAAAACTCAATATTTGTTAAAAAAAAGTTTACTCCATAATTCTGCACTACATGTTTATTTTTAATTCTAGTCTTCATTCAACTATTATGTGATCTGAATAAGTACTAAATTAACCTTGAAATATTTTTAAGTGAAAGTTCTTAGCTGTTTACACAACACATGTAGTAGAGATCAAGTACCTATGTCTAATTTAAATTTCTTCGAGATACACACAAAGAATACTGTACAGTTAAATATTCTGTAGGTGAACAGAATATTTTGAATTGTTTTTGTCATTTATTGTGACTCAATAAATATGCCATAAAAATATTTCAAAAAATGAATTCATTTATTAGATAAAAAATTAATGTTTTAGTTATAAAGAGAGGCATAGAAGAAATGAGGTATGAATCAAATAATCTTATGTTCAAATTGGATTTACTTTTTAATATAATAATTCTCATTTTTCCCTCTCATTTAAACTATATTAATTCTACAATATATATATATATATATGTATACTAGGGTGGCCCTCAAAAATCGAATGTCTTTTTTTTTTACGCTACCCCTTAATTTTTTTTTAATAGTAAAAATATGTGCAAAATAAAGGTTAACCCGTACCCCCGGGCCTATTGAGTTGAGTTGAAGAGGCAAATTTAATAGAAATAAGTGATCTATGTCTCATAACTTTTTTTTTGCTTAACTTAGAATTATGAAAATAAAACTCAAATAAAGAAAATTTTACAAGAAATTCAAAAATAATAACTTCAATGTAGTTTTCTTAATAAATAGCCCACAAAAACACTACATAGAGTAAAAAACATGTAAAAGTCCTAAAAATATGTTATAACGGATTTTGTTGATTTTTACTTATTTATTTTCATTTTATTCTTTGGAAAATGCANAATATGTTATAACGGATTTTGTTTATTTTTACTTATTTATTTTCATTTTATTCTTTGGAAAATGCATATTCGTTTAAAAAAAGGTTCTAAAAGTTTAATTTTTTATGCCAAATACGATAACTATATTAGATTTATTATTTTATGGACAGTTAATTAATGATTAATTATAAACCTAACAAAATTATTGTATTATTACATTTTTTGATTAAGGAAAATAATTTATTTTTTGGTTAGAAGTTATGCTTTTTGATTAATACTTTTTTACCACTAAATTACATCTGATTGAGATCTCCCTGCAAATGTATAATCTGAATGTTAATCATATAGAAAACAAATCTGATTTTATTATAACATAATTTTTTTTGTAAAATATTTTACTTGTTATTAACAATTTTTAATTTATTTTGTTTAAAATAATAATAACTTTAAAACAAAATATTTTACACAATAATTAAAGTAGAAAATTAAATTACAAAATATTTTTTGTTAATGTACTTTTTTTACAATTAGGAAATTTTTTTCGATAATCACTTACTATTTGTAAAACGTATTGCTTCTGCTTTTCATTTGTAGTTAATATATTGTTGTAGTCTTCGATTAATTTAATCCCACGCTCAAATGTATCATTAACGACTCGTAATTTGCTTATAGTATTTAAAGCATTTATGTAACTATTGTTCGCACTCCAAAATGGCGGATCAATTTTCAAAAAATCAGTTGAGTATGAGATTAAATTAATTAAAGACTACAACAATATATTAAGACTTTTACATGTTTTTTACTCTATGTACTGTTTTTGTGGGTTATTTATTAAGAAAACTACATTGAAGTTATTATTTTTGAATTTCTTGTAAAATTTACTTTATTTGAGTTTTACTTTCATAGTTCTAAGTTAAACAAAAAAAAGTTATGAGACATAGATCAGTTATTTCTATTAAATTTGCCTCTTCTCAACTTAATAGGCCTGGGGTCATGGGTTAACCTTTATGGATCGGTCCCAAATTTTGCACAGCTCATTTTTTTGACTATTAAAAAAAATTAAGGGGTAGCGTAAAAAAAAAGACATTCGATTTTTTAGGACCACTCTAATGTATACGGATATTAGACCAGCTCCTATATGAATATGTACCAGTTGGAAAATTAAAAAACTTGTTATATAACATAAGTGTAAAGAATTATTATTTTCAAAATTAGATATTCTTTTTAAATATACAGGAATAATAAGGAAATATAAACCATATTTATAATATATATCTAGTAAAGTTCATACAATAGACTTCCTTATATATTTGTTTAGTTTTGCACCTATTTCGCAAGACTTTGTACGAATACAAAACAATTTATAATTCATAGGAAAACACATTTATATATTACACATTTAATATACAGAAAATGATGCAGATACTACATTTCAGCACTTACAGATTCTATTGTTTTATGTTTTTCAGTTACAACTAATTTCAAAAATACATCAGTAAAAAAAACATTTCTTAAGTTTTGTTCAGATTCTTTTGCTACTCTTCTTATACGGTTACCTTTTTTCCCAATTACTAATTTTTCTAATCTTTCTGTATCACAGCCAACCAAAACAACAATATGCATATTACCTATAAGTAATTTACAAACTTATATAAAATAAATACTATATTAAATCCTACATTTTCATTGTACATTAAATTATCAATGAACTATTGGTTGTTGTAATTTTATGGTTGCTTTTTATAAAATGATATGTTTGCTCCCAGGAAAGCAAAATAAAGATTTAATTTCAATGGTGATAAATATAAATGGAAGTGCAAAATACAAAAACACGTAAGATCAAGAAGTCATTTTCTGGTACTTGATAGAAACATCCTTTTCTAAACATTTGGTAAAGAAATTTAATGTTTGGTTTACATTGAATAATTCTTAAGGTTTCTATGTATTCTGTGATAAATTGTCGTTTACCCAAAATTACAAAATTTACACACATAATAAATATCAAAACATATAACATTACCATCAGAAGATACTTCAAAATATTCTAATTCAATCTGCAATTTATATGGTACTTCATTTGGGAGATTATTAAGAAGGTTTGCTTTAATTATTTCCAGTATTAAATCAGTATCTTGTTTGTCAGTTAATGTACCTTCAGGAAATATCCATGATGAAGGCTTACTTTTTTGAATAAGATAATCCTAAAATTAAAGAAAAAATTAAATAATAGTGTTTAGTTAAAAGAAAAATAATTTTTTACTACCTTAATATCTTGTACACCATCACCAGTTAATGAAGATATCATAAATACATCTCTAAATTTATCCCAACCAACACAATTTTTTATTTTTTCACTTAATTTCATTTCACTGAGGTTATTTAAAGATTTATCTTTTTTGTAGTTTTCTAAGTTTTTAAGATTGTTGCAGGTTAAAGATTTTGATAAATCTAATAAACTACGTCTTGATCTGAAGGCATCAATCTATTACATCAATTTATTAAAAAAAAATTATAATAAGAATTATAGTAACATAACAATACCTTATTCAGTATCAAAAATGATTCTTTATCGTCGTTTAAATGAAGTAATCTCAAAACTTTTGGATCTAAACGATTTCTAGTATGGCGATTGGATACATCATGTAAAACTCCTATTGTGTCAGCTTCATATATTGCACCCAAGCAATCGCTAGTAAATGATTTCTCAAGGTTATATCTTAAAATAAAATATATATATAGTTTTTAACATCATAAGGTACTGTAAAACATTTAAATTCTATAAATAATAACTTAGTAATTTCTTCATTGTCTACTAAACCAGGAGTATCTAAAAAAACTATTTGAGTTTGTTTTTCTACTAAAATTGCACGAGCTTTCAATCTTGTTGTATGAACTTTGTTTGATGTTGCTAATATCTAATAAATTAAATTAATAATATGTATGATAATATTTAGTCTTTCAATCACAAATGCTATTCATATTGATATATAAAACTCTAACATTTCTTTGAATAATTCTATTTATCAGAGTACTTTTACCAGCGTTGGGTACACCAATTATGGCTACTTTTAGTAGTCGTTGTTGATCCACATATTCTTTATTACTACTATTTGTATTATGAGTATATCTCAAAATTACATTAAGATAATATTGTGGTTTTTTCAAACTCGAGAGTATTGAGTTAGTTGAACTATTGATCATTTTAAATATTACTTAATTTTAAATGAAACATTTACGATATAAAAAATTACCGACAATAATATGTAAAAATATGAAGTTTTTTTGAATTTATCAAGTGCATGGTACTAATCTTTTTTTGATAACCGTTATCAAATAATATCTTTATTTATTTCATAAAGAAATAATAATACTCAATGTTTGGATTATTATTCTGTACATTTATCATAATATGTAAAATATGTTGCAATTAAAGCTATAATTTAATACTACAGATTATATGAAATACAGTACAATATTGTTATCACACAGTTATTGCGTAAATTTATAGATTTTAATAAAGTAATTGTGATATATTATTAATCTAAGTGTTGGACTATTTTTTTCAAAATGTTATATAATTTTATTATTAATTGTTATTCAACTTAATTGCATGTTAAGATAATGAATTTTAAGGGAATAGAAAGTACATCTATATACTTAAGATTATCTAATTTAAATGTAATCAACAATAATGATTATTATGAATTTACAATATCATTAATAGATATCGTAAGTGATATTTGATTCGTAAAATAAAAAAAAAAATTCAATATAATTTTTTAGATTTTCAAAAGATCAACAGTTGTAAAAAAAAAAGAAAGATTGAAATAATGCGAAAACTAATATAAACCAAAATATTGAAACGAATTTGAAAACTATCATCAGTAATTACTAATACTTGACGAATGTTTTGTTGTGATTATTATTTAATTTTTTCAAATTTTAATTGATTTATTTCGACCCGACTGTTATTACTAGACTGTTAAACTTCCACAATATTTAATGTATTAAAATAACTAACAAAATTAAGAGCCCCAAATTATTTTTATTTGCTTGGTCATCTTTTGTACAAATTACTTAGATAAAATTTCAGCCGGAATAATAATACAAATAAATACATCTTCAACAATTTTTTCGTTATATCCAATATGATAACAATCAAATTTTTTAGATAATTTCTTATATGTTGTAAATTATATTATTATATATTATTATTAATCGTAACTAAAAAATCGGAAATCATTGAACACTTTTTTTTAAAAACTTCTAATTATAAACAAACATATGAATTATACGAAATTGTAGTTTTTTTCAATATTATTTTCGACGAGTCATATTTAAGGTATGTATTGAATGTATGAGCCTATAAAGCAAGTAAGAGGTGGTACCAAAATATTAGTCTAAATACAGTAGCCTTAGACTTGTAAATCTTAGGTATCTTACTACTTTTTTGAGATGACAGCAAAAAACAAATAAAGGTCATTATTATTTTTAAGTGACATTGTATTTTTCTATATATGAAATACCAAGGCTAGATATTTAACACGTTTTTTCAACTCGTCGTAATTATACTAATTTTGTAATACCTAAGTTTACTTCGATACATTTCTTAAATTAGTTAGGCTCAAAGTAACTGGAAAATAAATTTAAGTGGCCCTCNTACTTCGATACATTTCTTAAATTAGTTAGGCTCAAAGTAACTGGAAAATAAATTTAAATGAATTTTTATATTTGATACGTATTTAGGTTAAAAAATAACTAGTAAAGTTGAAAGTTAAACCTACCATAATATTAACAATTGCTAATCTTAATTTAATTAAATTTTTTAACTTTTTAATGTCCAATCTTGTGAAATATAGGTATTAAGGAACAAAAATAATTGAACTTAGTAACGCAAGACAATTAGAAGTTTTGGCGTAGGTAAATAAAGTTACATAAATACTGATTTGCTACAATAACATATTGTAGCAACTGAAAATTATTATAGTTTCATCAATTAATTCATCAAAATGAAATAATTAAAAAATGTTAGTATTATAAAATTTAATATTTGAGGAAATTGAAATTGTTATAAATGTAATAATTATAAATTTTTAGTATACTGAAATAAATTTTATACAATATTAGGTAATGGGAACCTTAAAAAAATATTCTCTTCGCTAGGATATAAGTATTTAAAAAAAAAAATTTTGTAAATATTATCATAACTATAAACAAATATATGTATACTGAATGATAAATTATAGCTAACACTTATTATCTCAGAAACTATTGAGAATTTCAATTTTTGTAATAATCCAAATTATGAGATTGTATATGTCAGCAGTACCTTGTACAAATGTATTTCCTGAAGTATGACATAGCAGAGAAACCATATTTTTAATAAATATTAATTTATTTGAAGTTATAGTTGAAAATTATTTATTATATTATTGTAGCATAGGTTAACAAATTATAATTTAAATAATCTTTTAAAAGAATATTTAGTCTATATAATATTCTAAATAAAGTTTTAAATTAGACATTTGTAACCTACATATATTTTGTTATTCCAATAACAAAGCGTTTTTCATAATATTACTGACAAATAAAAATTAATATTTTTATAGTACAGCCTTTTTTGAAATAACTAAATTTTTGTTTTGAAGGTTAAGACAACCAACATAGCTCTATACATCACAATTAAGATTTCTGTGGAGTTTTTTAAAAAATACATTGCATTTTAAACCATCTTTTAAATAATATTTAAATTAAGGTATAATTCATTAACTTAAAAAGTTAAATAATTATAAATATTTACTTTTAAAGTAGTCTATTTTACAATATTGTAAATTAGTTCACTTATAAATTATTATTAATGTACTATACAAATAAAAAATGAATGTCTCCTTGAAAACTTGTCTTTTATGAGCAAGATCTATTAAGTTAAAAATCACATACTTTTGGTGGACATAAATTTTTTTTTAATTTGCGACAAAGCATGTTACGACAGTGATTATAATTACTGTCAACTATCAATAAATACTAATATTAAAAAAATTTCTCATATCCATTTTGCTGAATTCCTGCTAGACTTAACATTTAATCAATTTTAAATGCATAATTATTCTTTATAAGATAACTATTATTTATGTTATTGGTAGGTGTTCATTATAAGGAGAGAAGAATCGGAAGCTGTAAGAACAGTTATAGAAATTAATGTTATAGGAAGAAGAGGTAGAGGAAGACCAAGAAAGAAATGGAGAGATGTTATTGAATGCATAGAACCAGTAAATTTTTTTTTTAAATCCCAAATTTTTTCAAAATGTTTATTTTAATGTAATAATAAAGTTATAAGGGTTCTCATTTAATTTTCGATGATCAAATTCTTTTGATCCACCTTAATGAACACCTACCTTCATCTTCTTCTTCTTCCTCGCCTTAATCCGAACTACTTGGGGTCGGCCACCCTTACCCTAAACTTCCGTTTTACGTTGATCAATACATTTTTTTTTAATTTTTACAAAATGTTTATTTTAATGTAATAATAAAGTTATAAAGGTTCTCATTTAATTTTTGATGATTGAATTTTTTTGACCCACTCTAATGTTTATTTAAGGAAAATTTTTAAAAATAACTAGTTTTACATCACAATCCTAAAATTTATTTATTTTTTATGAATAACAAGGAATACAAAGTAATAATTTATAACTTACTGTTTTTAAAACACAATAATAGTATACTAAAGTACAATATTTATTGCACAAATTATAAGACAAATTTATCTGGGATCTTCTAAATAGATCATTGTTTTATTTATTTTTTTTTATTGCGGTATATCACTCATTATTGGACACCTCATTCCACGTTACTGAAAAACAAAAAACAATAAGTACACAACTGTATTAAGTTAACAAAATACACAGATTTATTTTAGTATTCTTTGTTGTTTGTTACAATAAGCTTCCCATTAAAAAAAAAGCATTATCTTTACTTATAAATGAATTTAGTATTTTGAGTATAAATTAATTATTTCATTATATAAAATTACTAACATATTATGTTGATAATAATGCTTGTTAATTTTTTTTTTTTAATCAATACATCATAAGTAGATAAAATAACAAACACTTGATTAATATTGTTACTATATTACATAACAGTTAAAGTTAGTTAAGAGATCACAAATATTTTTCATAGAATAAAAAGTAATTGAATTAATAAAAATAAGAAGGCCAAATTCAATAATAGAGATTCTTTTTTTTCATTAGTTTAATGTTGACTAGTTAATAANCAATAATAGAGATTCTTTTTTTTCATTAGTTTAATGTTGACTAGTTAATAATAAAACAAAAAATAAAGTAATACTTAAATTTCTTTAAAGTATTAAAAGCATAAAATTATAGATTAATTATGTTTTTCTATTTTAATTATAAAAAAACTAATAAGGGTGCTGCTGACTTTTAGTTAATTGAATTATTAAAAGGTTTTATTTTTTTAAAATCATGCAATATTCTACTTAAATTTATAAAACATATATTTAATAATAATAAACAAGTAGTTGATACAATCTATTCAAATTTATAATAGAAGCATTTAACATTTAAGTATACTCATACCAATGTTACGTATATGCATACAAATGACTAGTACATAATGGTAATAAAAGTGTTACATTACAGTATCTCTCACTTTTTTATAATAAATTAAAAAATATATATATGTATATCAAGCTATAAGGTAAAAGGTTAAGAAGATACAATTAATAGTTAGATGAATTGTTAAGCATAAATAAAATAATCCACTAACTATTTAAAGAACTATTACTCCTTTTTTAAATTTTGCTATTTCTCAACCACAACCAACCGCAATAAAAAAAAAAAAAAAAAATACATAAGGTAGATTTATCTGTTGACAATAAATTTCTAGAAATTAAAAATGTTCATATAGAAATTTAATTGTTAGGAAATTATAAGGTAACATTGTTAATACTAACAGTGTGATTGATATCACAGTGCCTACATTTATATGATAAAGGAAATGTTTTTTAACCTAGCATCACCATGACAAAAATATATTTAATTTGCTATAAGACTAAAATCTTCTTTTTCGGGTACATACACAATACGTATGGTGTTGGTATAGCCAGATCCCTTTTTCCATCCAGTGACAATAACAATCGGATCACCAGATTGAAGGAAACCACGAGCCTTACCAAACTGAATTCCATGAACAACACGATTATCAATGTCTTTTAACCAATCAGATGATGCTGGTTCTATGGCATAAATAAATAAGTTATAATTTTATTTTTAATTTTAAAATAAATTTAATTATTTTTAATAAAATTTAGGTTGAAATATTTACCACTATAATACAATGGCAAAATACCACGGTAAACATGACATTGACGAGCTACTTGGGCATTTCTAGTAATAGCTACGATAGGACTACGAGGTCGATATTTGGAAAGTAGATGAGCAGAGTGACCAGATGTTGTGAGAACTATGATAGCAACTGCTTTACATTTGTTAGCAGCATCTACAGCAGCAATTGCAGTAGTGTGCGAAGAATCTAATGGTAAGGTGACCTAAGTGTAATACGTTAGTCGATAAATGAAAATCATCATATATTATGATAGTAAAATGTCACAGTTATTATTTCAATAACTAAGTACTCACTGCAGATGAGAGATCAGCAAATAACTGTTTTTGCCAAACAGCAGTTTCAGCTTCCTTGCAAATAGTAGCCATAGTACGCACACATTCTAAAGGATATTCACCTTTAGCAGTTTCTCCTGATAACATAACACAGTCAGCTCCATCTAAAATAGCATTAGCTACATCAGACGATTCAGCTCTGGTAGCACGAGGTTTTTTAATCATAGACTCCAACATTTGAGTGGCACAGATTGCAGGTTTACCAGCCTATAATAAATGATTTTACTCAGTATGTTATAATTAATTTAATATAAATTAT